GGCCCAGGAGCCGTCTCACCGTGGGCCTTGGTCGGCCAACATCGGGTTTACTACCCCTTTTATGAAAGGAAAGTGGCGCTTATTGAAAAACGGGGCGCTGCGTAAAAGTGGCGCCCCACCCACTGCAGAACCCCCCCCCCCTCCTTTTCCGTTGGGCCAGGGCCGGCCGCACGTCACCTTGACTACAATTTACACTCGGAACGTAAACACATTTGTAATAATGGTAAGGAATGGGTGTGGCGCAGCGTGGCGCAGCGCGCGGCCGGTGGAAGGCCCTGCCGCGCTGTCGAATTGTTTTAACGGGGACTCTAATTTCTGTGGGTTTTCGGGGTCGCGCCGGCGGGGTCACACACCTAGAAAAATACGTAGTATCTTGTTTCGTTCTTGTTTCAAGTGCACCCTGGCACAAGATGAAGTTCACCATTGAAACAAAGGCAATATTGTATTTGAAAGTAAATATCAGCTGAATTCAAGAGTGAATTTGATCTTGTGTCAGTGTGCACTTGAAACAAGAAAACAAATTTCTAGAAAGAGGAAACGACTTTTCTGGGTGCAGGCTACACTGTTAAGTGATGCTTACGAACTGCATCGCAGAGGCATCGTCTCGCTCACTACTGCCCGTGTAACCAAAACTGAAAGTTACTCTGCGGAGTTGTGGAGTTACAAGCTGAGTACGGAAAATGTATTAGTTTTATTGCCAAGAGTTTTGTACTGCCTGCTTGGTCTTTCGTAATGTTTTATAGCATCTCGCAAATTGCGTTGCGTTATGTACTTTTAAATTTTCCATGTGTTTATTTTGACTGTGTGATTTGAAGTGTAGTAGAATTTCTGACCTCGAGGTGAGCTAGTCGTTGCACTGTGTTTGCTCTGGGAAACGTTGTTTAGAAGAATCTAAGACTGCGATTCGATTGAGGTGTAATATCACGTTGACGCGAGTGTGTGTGAGCTGAGCTCCCCCCGCGGCCGCCGTGCCCCGTGCCGTGCAGCTGCACAGTGTTAGGCTAGTCTGGCTGCCCTGCTCCTCGCCTCTGCCTAAATATTGGATGACGCCTCCAACTCTTGTAGCCTTGGCCCTACAAATAATTCACGTTTTCGTCTCACTCCACATCTGCCATTCTGCCTCTGCGCGAGGGGCCGCCGCCCCCGCCCCGTGCACCCGCTCCCACCCCCGCCTGCATACAAGATATTATAAAAGTAGGTTCAGGTTCTCTGCGCCCGGCCGTCTCCGTCTGAATATTGTAGAATAGAGAACCACGCCCGAGGAGCGTGGGCGGTGGCGAGGGGTGGGCGTCAGGGGGTCAGGGGGCATTCTCTGCACCGCCACCCTTCACCACGCCGCGCCCTCCTTCGCGCCAACGCACCCGCGCCTTTTAATGCGGGGACCGTGTGTATGTGGCACCGTCAGTCCCACAGGACACGCTGCCCCCGCCGCCCGCCGCACCGGACTTGTGTCTTGGTGTTAGTGGGTCAGCGTGTCTCCGCCGGACTGACAGACAACCCCGCTCGAGTGCAGACCACACTCTTTCCTTCATTTGTCAGCTGATGCTGTTTCTGTTTCCATTTCCTCCCCACCCCCTGGCGCTTTGTCGTTTCTTTCTCCGTTCTTTTTCGTCTTTTATCGTTTCCCGCGCCAGCGACTAGGCGCGCCGCGCCATGGAGTACGTGTAAAAGCACTCTAGTTGCAGCGAATAGGTCCCGGTGACCGCGCGGTATGCGCTGCACACCGCACCACCGGCCCTGTCGGGGCGGGGCGGGGCGGGGCGGGGCGGGGCGGGGCGGGGCGGGGCGGGGCGGGGCGGGGCGGGGCGGGGCGGGGCGGGGCGGGGCGGGGCGGGGCGGGGCGGGGCGGGGCGGGGCGGGGCGGGGCGGGGCGGGGCGGGGCGGGGCGGGGCGGGGCGGGGCGGGGCGGGGCGGGGCGGGGCGGGGCGGGGCGGGGCGGGGCGGGGCGGGGCGGGGCGGGGCGGGGCGGGGCGGGGCGGGGCGGGGCGGGGCGGGGCGGGGCGGGGCGGGGCGGGGCGGGGCGGGGCGGGGCGGGGCGGGGCGGGGCGGGGCGGGGCGGGGCGGGGCGGGGCGGGGCGGGGCGGGGCGGGGCGGGGCGGGGCGGGGCGGGGCGGGGCGGGGCGGGGCGGGGCGGGGCGGGGCGGGGCGGGGCGGGGCGGGGCGGGGCGGGGCGGGGCGGGGCGGGGCGGGGCGGGGCGGGGCGGGGCGGGGCGGGGCGGGGCGGGGCGGGGCGGGGCGGGGCGGGGCGGGGCGGGGCGGGGCGGGGCGGGGCGGGGCGGGGCGGGGCGGGGCGGGGCGGGGCGGGGCGGGGCGGGGCGGGGCGGGGCGGGGCGGGGCGGGGCGGGGCGGGGCGGGGCGGGGCGGGGCGGGGCGGGGCGGGGCGGGGCGGGGCGGGGCGGGGCGGGGCGGGGCGGGGCGGGGCGGGGCGGGGCGGGGCGGGGCGGGGCGGGGCGGGGCGGGGCGGGGCGGGGCGGGGCGGGGCGGGGCGGGGCGGGGCGGGGCGGGGCGGGGCGGGGCGGGGCGGGGCGGGGCGGGGCGGGGCGGGGCGGGGCGGGGCGGGGCGGGGCGGGGCGGGGCGGGGCGGGGCGGGGCGGGGCGGGGCGGGGCGGGGCGGGGCGGGGCGGGGCGGGGCGGGGCGGGGCGGGGCGGGGCGGGGCGGGGCGGGGCGGGGCGGGGCGGGGCGGGGCGGGGCGGGGCGGGGCGGGGCGGGGCGGGGCGGGGCGGGGCGGGGCGGGGCGGGGCGGGGCGGGGCGGGGCGGGGCGGGGCGGGGCGGGGCGGGGCGGGGCGGGGCGGGGCGGGGCGGGGCGGGGCGGGGCGGGGCGGGGCGGGGCGGGGCGGGGCGGGGCGGGGCGGGGCGGGGCGGGGCGGGGCGGGGCGGGGCGGGGCGGGGCGGGGCGGGGCGGGGCGGGGCGGGGCGGGGCGGGGCGGGGCGGGGCGGGGCGGGGCGGGGCGGGGCGGGGCGGGGCGGGGCGGGGCGGGGCGGGGCGGGGCGGGGCGGGGCGGGGCGGGGCGGGGCGGGGCGGGGCGGGGCGGGGCGGGGCGGGGCGGGGCGGGGCGGGGCGGGGCGGGGCGGGGCGGGGCGGGGCGGGGCGGGGCGGGGCGGGGCGGGGCGGGGCGGGGCGGGGCGGGGCGGGGCGGGGCGGGGCGGGGCGGGGCGGGGCGGGGCGGGGCGGGGCGGGGCGGGGCGGGGCGGGGCGGGGCGGGGCGGGGCGGGGCGGGGCGGGGCGGGGCGGGGCGGGGCGGGGCGGGGCGGGGCGGGGCGGGGCGGGGCGGGGCGGGGCGGGGCGGGGCGGGGCGGGGCGGGGCGGGGCGGGGCGGGGCGGGGCGGGGCGGGGCGGGGCGGGGCGGGGCGGGGCGGGGCGGGGCGGGGCGGGGCGGGGCGGGGCGGGGCGGGGCGGGGCGGGGCGGGGCGGGGCGGGGCGGGGCGGGGCGGGGCGGGGCGGGGCGGGGCGGGGCGGGGCGGGGCGGGGCGGGGCGGGGCGGGGCGGGGCGGGGCGGGGCGGGGCGGGGCGGGGCGGGGCGGGGCGGGGCGGGGCGGGGCGGGGCGGGGCGGGGCGGGGCGGGGCGGGGCGGGGCGGGGCGGGGCGGGGCGGGGCGGGGCGGGGCGGGGCGGGGCGGGGCGGGGCGGGGCGGGGCGGGGCGGGGCGGGGCGGGGCGGGGCGGGGCGGGGCGGGGCGGGGCGGGGCGGGGCGGGGCGGGGCGGGGCGGGGCGGGGCGGGGCGGGGCGGGGCGGGGCGGGGCGGGGCGGGGCGGGGCGGGGCGGGGCGGGGCGGGGCGGGGCGGGGCGGGGCGGGGCGGGGCGGGGCGGGGCGGGGCGGGGCGGGGCGGGGCGGGGCGGGGCGGGGCGGGGCGGGGCGGGGCGGGGCGGGGCGGGGCGGGGCGGGGCGGGGCGGGGCGGGGCGGGGCGGGGCGGGGCGGGGCGGGGCGGGGCGGGGCGGGGCGGGGCGGGGCGGGGCGGGGCGGGGCGGGGCGGGGCGGGGCGGGGCGGGGCGGGGCGGGGCGGGGCGGGGCGGGGCGGGGCGGGGCGGGGCGGGGCGGGGCGGGGCGGGGCGGGGCGGGGCGGGGCGGGGCGGGGCGGGGCGGGGCGGGGCGGGGCGGGGCGGGGCGGGGCGGGGCGGGGCGGGGCGGGGCGGGGCGGGGCGGGGCGGGGCGGGGCGGGGCGGGGCGGGGCGGGGCGGGGCGGGGCGGGGCGGGGCGGGGCGGGGCGGGGCGGGGCGGGGCGGGGCGGGGCGGGGCGGGGCGGGGCGGGGCGGGGCGGGGCGGGGCGGGGCGGGGCGGGGCGGGGCGGGGCGGGGCGGGGCGGGGCGGGGCGGGGCGGGGCGGGGCGGGGCGGGGCGGGGCGGGGCGGGGCGGGGCGGGGCGGGGCGGGGCGGGGCGGGGCGGGGCGGGGCGGGGCGGGGCGGGGCGGGGCGGGGCGGGGCGGGGCGGGGCGGGGCGGGGCGGGGCGGGGCGGGGCGGGGCGGGGCGGGGCGGGGCGGGGCGGGGCGGGGCGGGGCGGGGCGGGGCGGGGCGGGGCGGGGCGGGGCGGGGCGGGGCGGGGCGGGGCGGGGCGGGGCGGGGCGGGGCGGGGCGGGGCGGGGCGGGGCGGGGCGGGGCGGGGCGGGGCGGGGCGGGGCGGGGCGGGGCGGGGCGGGGCGGGGCGGGGCGGGGCGGGGCGGGGCGGGGCGGGGCGGGGCGGGGCGGGGCGGGGCGGGGCGGGGCGGGGCGGGGCGGGGCGGGGCGGGGCGGGGCGGGGCGGGGCGGGGCGGGGCGGGGCGGGGCGGGGCGGGGCGGGGCGGGGCGGGGCGGGGCGGGGCGGGGCGGGGCGGGGCGGGGCGGGGCGGGGCGGGGCGGGGCGGGGCGGGGCGGGGCGGGGCGGGGCGGGGCGGGGCGGGGCGGGGCGGGGCGGGGCGGGGCGGGGCGGGGCGGGGCGGGGCGGGGCGGGGCGGGGCGGGGCGGGGCGGGGCGGGGCGGGGCGGGGCGGGGCGGGGCGGGGCGGGGCGGGGCGGGGCGGGGCGGGGCGGGGCGGGGCGGGGCGGGGCGGGGCGGGGCGGGGCGGGGCGGGGCGGGGCGGGGCGGGGCGGGGCGGGGCGGGGCGGGGCGGGGCGGGGCGGGGCGGGGCGGGGCGGGGCGGGGCGGGGCGGGGCGGGGCGGGGCGGGGCGGGGCGGGGCGGGGCGGGGCGGGGCGGGGCGGGGCGGGGCGGGGCGGGGCGGGGCGGGGCGGGGCGGGGCGGGGCGGGGCGGGGCGGGGCGGGGCGGGGCGGGGCGGGGCGGGGCGGGGCGGGGCGGGGCGGGGCGGGGCGGGGCGGGGCGGGGCGGGGCGGGGCGGGGCGGGGCGGGGCGGGGCGGGGCGGGGCGGGGCGGGGCGGGGCGGGGCGGGGCGGGGCGGGGCGGGGCGGGGCGGGGCGGGGCGGGGCGGGGCGGGGCGGGGCGGGGCGGGGCGGGGCGGGGCGGGGCGGGGCGGGGCGGGGCGGGGCGGGGCGGGGCGGGGCGGGGCGGGGCGGGGCGGGGCGGGGCGGGGCGGGGCGGGGCGGGGCGGGGCGGGGCGGGGCGGGGCGGGGCGGGGCGGGGCGGGGCGGGGCGGGGCGGGGCGGGGCGGGGCGGGGCGGGGCGGGGCGGGGCGGGGCGGGGCGGGGCGGGGCGGGGCGGGGCGGGGCGGGGCGGGGCGGGGCGGGGCGGGGCGGGGCGGGGCGGGGCGGGGCGGGGCGGGGCGGGGCGGGGCGGGGCGGGGCGGGGCGGGGCGGGGCGGGGCGGGGCGGGGCGGGGCGGGGCGGGGCGGGGCGGGGCGGGGCGGGGCGGGGCGGGGCGGGGCGGGGCGGGGCGGGGCGGGGCGGGGCGGGGCGGGGCGGGGCGGGGCGGGGCGGGGCGGGGCGGGGCGGGGCGGGGCGGGGCGGGGCGGGGCGGGGCGGGGCGGGGCGGGGCGGGGCGGGGCGGGGCGGGGCGGGGCGGGGCGGGGCGGGGCGGGGCGGGGCGGGGCGGGGCGGGGCGGGGCGGGGCGGGGCGGGGCGGGGCGGGGCGGGGCGGGGCGGGGCGGGGCGGGGCGGGGCGGGGCGGGGCGGGGCGGGGCGGGGCGGGGCGGGGCGGGGCGGGGCGGGGCGGGGCGGGGCGGGGCGGGGCGGGGCGGGGCGGGGCGGGGCGGGGCGGGGCGGGGCGGGGCGGGGCGGGGCGGGGCGGGGCGGGGCGGGGCGGGGCGGGGCGGGGCGGGGCGGGGCGGGGCGGGGCGGGGCGGGGCGGGGCGGGGCGGGGCGGGGCGGGGCGGGGCGGGGCGGGGCGGGGCGGGGCGGGGCGGGGCGGGGCGGGGCGGGGCGGGGCGGGGCGGGGCGGGGCGGGGCGGGGCGGGGCGGGGCGGGGCGGGGCGGGGCGGGGCGGGGCGGGGCGGGGCGGGGCGGGGCGGGGCGGGGCGGGGCGGGGCGGGGCGGGGCGGGGCGGGGCGGGGCGGGGCGGGGCGGGGCGGGGCGGGGCGGGGCGGGGCGGGGCGGGGCGGGGCGGGGCGGGGCGGGGCGGGGCGGGGCGGGGCGGGGCGGGGCGGGGCGGGGCGGGGCGGGGCGGGGCGGGGCGGGGCGGGGCGGGGCGGGGCGGGGCGGGGCGGGGCGGGGCGGGGCGGGGCGGGGCGGGGCGGGGCGGGGCGGGGCGGGGCGGGGCGGGGCGGGGCGGGGCGGGGCGGGGCGGGGCGGGGCGGGGCGGGGCGGGGCGGGGCGGGGCGGGGCGGGGCGGGGCGGGGCGGGGCGGGGCGGGGCGGGGCGGGGCGGGGCGGGGCGGGGCGGGGCGGGGCGGGGCGGGGCGGGGCGGGGCGGGGCGGGGCGGGGCGGGGCGGGGCGGGGCGGGGCGGGGCGGGGCGGGGCGGGGCGGGGCGGGGCGGGGCGGGGCGGGGCGGGGCGGGGCGGGGCGGGGCGGGGCGGGGCGGGGCGGGGCGGGGCGGGGCGGGGCGGGGCGGGGCGGGGCGGGGCGGGGCGGGGCGGGGCGGGGCGGGGCGGGGCGGGGCGGGGCGGGGCGGGGCGGGGCGGGGCGGGGCGGGGCGGGGCGGGGCGGGGCGGGGCGGGGCGGGGCGGGGCGGGGCGGGGCGGGGCGGGGCGGGGCGGGGCGGGGCGGGGCGGGGCGGGGCGGGGCGGGGCGGGGCGGGGCGGGGCGGGGCGGGGCGGGGCGGGGCGGGGCGGGGCGGGGCGGGGCGGGGCGGGGCGGGGCGGGGCGGGGCGGGGCGGGGCGGGGCGGGGCGGGGCGGGGCGGGGCGGGGCGGGGCGGGGCGGGGCGGGGCGGGGCGGGGCGGGGCGGGGCGGGGCGGGGCGGGGCGGGGCGGGGCGGGGCGGGGCGGGGCGGGGCGGGGCGGGGCGGGGCGGGGCGGGGCGGGGCGGGGCGGGGCGGGGCGGGGCGGGGCGGGGCGGGGCGGGGCGGGGCGGGGCGGGGCGGGGCGGGGCGGGGCGGGGCGGGGCGGGGCGGGGCGGGGCGGGGCGGGGCGGGGCGGGGCGGGGCGGGGCGGGGCGGGGCGGGGCGGGGCGGGGCGGGGCGGGGCGGGGCGGGGCGGGGCGGGGCGGGGCGGGGCGGGGCGGGGCGGGGCGGGGCGGGGCGGGGCGGGGCGGGGCGGGGCGGGGCGGGGCGGGGCGGGGCGGGGCGGGGCGGGGCGGGGCGGGGCGGGGCGGGGCGGGGCGGGGCGGGGCGGGGCGGGGCGGGGCGGGGCGGGGCGGGGCGGGGCGGGGCGGGGCGGGGCGGGGCGGGGCGGGGCGGGGCGGGGCGGGGCGGGGCGGGGCGGGGCGGGGCGGGGCGGGGCGGGGCGGGGCGGGGCGGGGCGGGGCGGGGCGGGGCGGGGCGGGGCGGGGCGGGGCGGGGCGGGGCGGGGCGGGGCGGGGCGGGGCGGGGCGGGGCGGGGCGGGGCGGGGCGGGGCGGGGCGGGGCGGGGCGGGGCGGGGCGGGGCGGGGCGGGGCGGGGCGGGGCGGGGCGGGGCGGGGCGGGGCGGGGCGGGGCGGGGCGGGGCGGGGCGGGGCGGGGCGGGGCGGGGCGGGGCGGGGCGGGGCGGGGCGGGGCGGGGCGGGGCGGGGCGGGGCGGGGCGGGGCGGGGCGGGGCGGGGCGGGGCGGGGCGGGGCGGGGCGGGGCGGGGCGGGGCGGGGCGGGGCGGGGCGGGGCGGGGCGGGGCGGGGCGGGGCGGGGCGGGGCGGGGCGGGGCGGGGCGGGGCGGGGCGGGGCGGGGCGGGGCGGGGCGGGGCGGGGCGGGGCGGGGTCCAGCTGTCGCGGTTAGTCAGCCAAAGCATTCGGAGCACGCCGCCGCCGTCACCACACAGCACG